TTGTATCTTTCCTTTGTGCCATCACCTCTTTTTCTCTTTTTTTTTATTGTTCCATGCCTTAGAAGCCTTTGCAAAAAAAAGGAAAAAAAAGAACAAATACTAAAAACAAACTAACTAAAACTATTGCAATTGAGACATTTCTAAGCAGTGCAGAGTTAAACTTGACACTGTCATTTGATGGCTGTGTGTTTTAGCTTGTGTTTTATGTGCAAAAGTTCATTGTGTCTATGTGCAGTTTTGAGTGCACATTTGTATTTATTCCTCAGTGGGTGTGTGGGTTTAACAGTAGGGGTTAAGCTGTGTGTGCAAGTGTCCAAAGCAAACCTCTTTTAGTGTTATTAATATTAATTAATGTGTGCTGTCAGGGGGGCAGAGAAACAATTCATTGCTCACATTTATTATATCAAGTGCTTCATGATTTATTAATGGGCATGTTTAAGGTTAGAGAAAAGAAAGGGAAGGGAAAATAAAAGAGAAGGGCAAAGCATAAATTGATTCTTCTGACAAAAGTCTATTAAAGTAATTTGTGAACTCAGTGAAATGTGGATTCTTTGGACTTTTTAGTTTTTACTCATTAGACGGTGAAACTGTTGGAATATCTCAGTGTCATTTTGATCATGAATATTTTATTTTCACTCATCCTGTTAGATTGATACCAAGTTTTCCTTTCATAGTTCTAATTTTATCCTCCCACCCACATGCTTTCGGCAAGTATGTATGCAAGACAATGCTACTGTTGCATATATTCCCACTATAGATGACCTTAGTCTCACGTGCTGTCACTGTTTCTTTCAGTGCTTCTCATCTGTATACGTTGCACGTCTGTGCTTATCTGTTTTTCTGCCTCTGGACTCCTTTAGCTTGACAGATAGACACTCGCCCTCCCTATTTAATGTCCTTTCTTTGTACAGTACGTATAGCCCACCGACTTTTTGTCCCTCACACACCATCTGTCTGTCTGTCTGTTGGTGTCTCTGTCTCTCTTCAGTCCATCACAGCAATTGCCTCCTGCTTCACCCCCCACCCCAACCCGCCTCCCAAATACGACTTGGCATGTCGCTGCATATCTATATTATAACACCTTGAAGAAATATGCCTATGTATGTGTATGTGTGCGCGTGAACATGCGCTGCCATGTTCCATTTAATCGAGGTTCCCAGTCGGCACATAGGACAAATTGATCAGTTGGTTTGCCAGCTGTCCTGGCAGATCTCTCCTTCTGTCTCTATTTCTCTAACCAACACCACCCCCCCACACACATACACACACACACACCCACCTCTTTCTCTCCCTGACGCTCTCATTTTCAGTTTAACTCGTATACCTTGGCAATTAAAAGGCAAAGAAGGACAAAAAAAAACTTGTCTTCTAATGACTGGAGTGGTGTTACATAGAAGCATCTTCTTTTTTTTCACTGTTGGATGCATTTTAGAGATTCCACATTCTCCCATTGGCAGATGGCTGCTGGCCCATTTTGATTGACGTGACCTTGCCTGGCATTGGCTGTTGGCGGCCCTTCGAATGATCCCTTGCTGTGGAGAATGACGGGCAGCGCGTGAAGCCAGCTCCTTTTGTTATCTGAGCTGCACATATTGTCTTGATACACCCCTATCATTAGACACACATTTCAGAGGTGTGCTGGCAAAATGTGTATCCATGCTGAATTGAAGAGATAAGTCAGAATTGCAGCCAGCCACGAATATGGCTAGCCTGCTTTTAAGCATGATAGGTAGAAAATGCAAAACCCATTTCTGTTCTCATAGATCTATGCATAATTTTGCCTTGATTCGCCTGCTATTCACGCTTGATGTTCTTGGCGTGGTGAGGGAAGGATAGTGGCAGCACGGTCAGGAACAAAGAGAGTCTACTCCAGTGCCGCTTGACAGGTTGTGTGTGTGTGTGTGTGTGTGTGTGTGTGTGTGTGTGTGTGTGTCTTTCTCTTATGTCCTCATGCCTGGCTGTGCTGTGAGCTAAAAGCAAGAGGCTTTTCTCGGTGTAATGACAGACATTAGAAAGTCGATTACATGATTCTTACAGCCTCGGATACGCAACTCGCAGGCAAACACACAGGCACAAAACACGCTTGCACATTCACTCTGGTCCAAGCCAGGAGAGGCAGACGGTGCCTTCTAATCAATGTGTGATGGCAGGCCTTTTGTGTATGTGTGTTTTGTAAGAGTGGCTGAGTAAAAAAGATGGGCGGACGGAGTCCCCTTCATTATTGTGCCTGTGTTTTGATGAACGTTCATAAGCATTTCAGGACAGCAGGTTTGTGTTGGTCTTTGCACTGGCTGCGTGCACCTCAACTTGGCTGACTGACACGTGGGCCTGTGATCTCCTCTCTTGACTGTAGTCTAGTGTGACTCAATGCCAGAGGTCGGAGAGATGGTGTACCATCTTTCTCCAGAAGGCTTCAGTAACTGTTTACCCTGGCTCCTGACATCTGAGTAGCTTCCCAAAACTCAAATTTTGTTACATAATTCAAATAGGTCTGCTGTTGCTGTCAGGAATGTCTGGTTCTCCAATTGGAAAAGCAACCAAGCCTTTATGGGTGGTACACTGCTAAAGCCAATGTTAAGCCATGATATTAAAGCACCATAGAAAACAAATTTAACATGTTTATGATGTAATTCTTTTGAATTGAGAGTTGGAAAGGGGTTGGATATTAATCTAGCAAATACAGGCTGCTGAAGGCCTGACTATCTTGGATGACTAACATTTGCTAGCTAACTATGTTAGCTAGACATATTAGCTACAATTATATTCCTGCCCTTTAACAAAATTATTCAGTGTTATCAATTCAAACCTGTAGCCTAATATATGTTCCTTTTTTTAGAAAAGGCCACAAATGTGGTTAAATACTTCAGGATGTGAGCAGGACTAACACTTACTATTTATTTAGCTAATTTACCAAACATGACTTGTGAGATTTTTTAATGTTAGCCAGCCATCCCACTAAATGAATAACACATTAGCTATGTCTTCATGATAGCTTCAAGTATTTATAATGACTAAACTATCGTCTTCCCCTTTTCCTTCAATAGTTGTCCTGATACAGGAAAACAACAACTCATATTTTGAGTCATGCAAATCTTATCTACTATTTTCCTGTATCAAGACACCTCCTTCCCAGATAGCAATATAAATCTGACCCATACATGCTTGTATTTCATCTGGCCCAGTATATGGCCGGTTCCACGAGTCTGGCCCATATACAGTGTGATGGTTAGATGCTACTTCCACATCTGGACCAATTCTGGCACACTCACAGAAAATCTTGCGGCCGTCAGCCAACAATGTAGAATAGCAGCTGGAATCTGCCTAGATGCGCAAGTATATGGGCCGGACTTGGACCGAGGACCTGGGCATATGTTGGCCCAGAAGTTTCATGTTTGCTTCAACACTTATTTAACCAGCAAATTATCTTTTTATAAACAGGTTTTCTCAATATCATTTGCCGTTCTTTCTTAAGTTATTTTAACTCTACTCTTGCTAACACAACCTTAGTGTTGACTGGATGTGTCAATCATTTATGATCGGTCAAGCCAAAATCAACCCCTCCCTCCAAAGAAAACACCTAACAAGAGGCTCTGACTGAATAATGATGTGGGAGCAAAATTCAGCTCATTCAGTCCGAACACCAGAATGTCCTTCTACCCACTTAAACCTGGGGAGTTAACACATGGAAAGGAAGCCTGTTGGGTAATGTGCTTTTTAAGTGGAGAAGGGAGACAGAGTTAAATTGAGGGAATAAGATAAAAAGGGGAAGATAAGAGAGAGACAAGAACAGTAGATGGTTAGAATGCAAGGCAGGGAAGAAAAAGGAAGCCATGAGAAATGGGAAAAGGGATAAGAAAGAAAAGACAGATGTATTAGGAGAATAGAAAGAGAGCGGAGGAGCGAGGGGAAAGAGAGGGAGCATGCCAAAGCTGTTAATGTAGACCTGCTGTTAAGAATACAGTCTCAGAAGAGAGGAGACCAGAGCATCGAGCGGTAGCTGGCTGCCTGATTTCACACCCATTATCACCTGCTACAAAGGCACGGCAAGTGGAAAATGAAACTGCATAGAGAGGGAGTGTAAAATAAACTGTTTTATACTGTGTGTTTGTGAGTGTGTGTTTATGCACCACCCGATGTCACACATGTATTGATAAGCTTCTGTTACATGGCGTGCATTCTTGTGAGCTGCCGTATGTAAGGTCATGAGTGCTTATCACCCTCACCCACATTCTCACCTTTTTGTAGTGTGTCTCTCTCTCTCTCTCTCTCTCTCTCTCTCTCTCTCTCTCTCTCTCAGAGGTAGTTGGGTTTCGCCTCTGGCTGCACAGGGAGATGTTTGAAAAAGAAAACAAGCAAATAAAGTGGGAAATGTGGGGAAACAACAACAAAATGAAGTTTTGGGTTTTGCATTTGCGTGTCTGCACATTGCCTTGGCTTGTTTTCATTTGCCTAGCTGGTTCAATCCAGTAGCAGCCTTTGATGCCATTTGCCAAGGCCACTGATCACACGTAATGTGAGAATTGTGTTTGTCAGATGGATTTAACCAAAGTCTCCTCTACTTCTCTCCACTAATCCTATCTTTTATCTCATCTGTACTTCCCTGTGGATTCACTTGCTTTCTATTTTTTTCTCCATTCATTCTTTATTTTCCTCTCTCATGAATTGAAAGGGAGATTAGAGTTTTTTTTTTTTTTTTTTCTTAGGCTTTAAAATGCTTAATGGAGTTTCTGAAAATGCTTAAGTGATATAAGATGTCTTTAAATTATCTTTAAAAGAGCTGGAGAATTTTTTTATTGGACTCTGTAGAAATATCCCATGGCTTTACTTTTCTTCTTTTTTAACAATGTGATTTATGTGTTCATTCCCTTGTGCAGAACTCTTCTCAAAATATGGCTTCTAAAGGGATTTCCCTTGTTAGGATAAAGGAGGCAGGAATTATTCAATCAAATTTCTTGGACATGGCTGATGTGCCGCATTTCTGTGTGTGTGCTCTTTTACAGCGTGTCCCCCTGGATCTTACAAGATGTCCTCCAGGCAGCAGGAGTGTTTCCCCTGCCCAGCCAACAGTGTCGCAGACGAGGAAGGATCTGTGTCGTGTGTGTGTGAGGAGGACCACTTCAGGACCCCCTTGGACACTCCCTCAGCACCGTGCACACGTAATTAGATTATATATTTGTTTACATTTTTGTGTGGTGACCTCTGGGTATTCTCTCTTTCTGCTATTGCACACTCCTATACTGTATCATTTCATCTAGACATTTTTTGCATTAAGTCATTATCTCGCCCATTCACCCTTCCATATATCCACTTTGCCTGGATATCTATAATGACCCTATGGTTTACCTGTCCTTCACCCTGCATCCTTTCATCCACTTCACCCTTTTCTCATCTCATCAACCCCGCGCCTGACCTGCGCCCACCTCCCCAGTCTCTGTCTGGCCATTTATCCTTATTTTTCCATCTCCAGCTCCTCCTCATCAGCCCATTTCCATGTCTCATCTCCCCCAACCTTCACCTCTCCTTCACCTTATAGCCCTCCACTGCAATTCAAGACTTTTCGTATTGAATTGCATCAAAGTAAAAATGCAGAAGTCCACCTGAAAACATGTCTGGTGTTGCTTTTCATCAGCCCAGATTGTTGACCAGAAATGAGTCTGTCCCAAAACGAGAGAGATTATACGTGTCTTATGCTACAACTTCCCTTTGATAACAATAAAATAGGGTTTTATTTTGAATAAATAGTTCTAGATGTAGTATGTTTTAAGGATAACAGATAAATATAGTCCTTGCTTGACAAAATTGGTACGGTTAATCCTCCATAGAGCAAATATCCTCATGAATCAAACCCATTATTTTATGTTTTAGGGTGGACTTTCCCCATAACTGTAACCCCTCCCAACCTGTGCTTACACCCCCTCTGATTTCATCCGATAGAATACACACATTATGTGTCCATTCACTGCAGCCATTTTCTCTGCCTCTTAACCTGTTATCACCCATCCATCCTTCATTCCTCCGAACATTACGCCCATATTATGTATTCTCCCAAAAAGCCCATCACCCCATTTTCTCCATCTTTTTGCTTAACCTTGTGCATTCTGTCCGTATTCATCCACCTTTCCTCCTGACATTACCCATCCATTGTCGGCAATACATCTATTACATCCATTATGGACCAACCAGTCTTTTTCTACCCTCCTCCATTCCTCCTTTGTGACCCCTGAACGCACACCCCCCCCCCCCCCCCCCCCCCCCCCTCTCTCTCTGTCTGTCTTCTTAACTCGACCACTCATCACTCTTCTTTCTGCACACTGCCTCTTCACATTTTCCTTCCTCTTCATCCTTTCATCCGTGCGGGTTATCGTTCTTCTTCCCTCTGCCAAACTGAAATCTCATCTCTCTGTCCTCAAGCGACAAACTATATAACCTCATCCCCACTGACCACGCATTATCCGTTCATCCCTCACCTCTTACCTTCTCTCACCCTCCCTCACCCCTTCTCCCACACCGAGTACCATTCTTCTCCAATAAAGATGCACTACAAGGCCAATAAGACAAAGACCATACAGGGTAGCCCTATTGATTCCTGCATGGAGAACAGCCTATTGATATAGCTTAGTAATTAGATGGAGGAATAATGGGCTCAATATCCCGGGAGTACTCAGGGCAGTAAAACCATTGGGTCACTACGTCTGTCCGTGCATGTTTGTATACACACACACATACACACATATTAACTTGTGCGTACACATATATGCGCAAGTGTGTGGTCATACTAGCTTTTATGGTAACTGCTTTGGAGGGGTTTAATTACAATATTGATCGCTGAGCTCTGTGATCCCTGCGTGATAACATTTATAGCAGCCTAATGACCACATTAATTACACTATTGATTCTGTAATTATGATCATCCCCAGATTCGGCTAATCCACCGTGTGTTTACGGATGGAGAAAGGGAGAGCTTGATGAATCTAGCATTATAAGAATAAAAGAAAGAGGGAGAGTTTGCCAGATGAATGAGGTTTGATATGCACACCTTATTATTCTCAGCAATTAGATAATAATACCGGTGTAATTTTATTCTTTTCCCTTTGCCATTAAGGCCTGTGAAGTATCTACACCTTAATGTGTTTACCACAGTTAAAAGCTACTGCTGTCTCTTTGAAACAACAGACTCCTCATCATTTTTTTAAGAATCATTTTTGAAACATGTGAAAAAACACCTTGCCACATGTTTTAAATGAGACACGTCTGGTGAAACTTCCTGACACGACTAATTACCATTATCGATGGCAGCTATTCAGAAATGTTCCAATACAGCACACTGTTAAATATCTCTTGGTGGCTGTGAAGAGGAAAAGTGAAACTTTGGAAAACAGTAGAATTAAATGTCTCACAGAAAGTCACAGAAATGCACTTTGCATTCAGTTTGGCAGAGTGGAAGTCCTGCTGACAGAACTGCAAAGGCGATGACTATAGCATAATGACTATAAGAAAAATATGTATAAGTCATGCATAATGTTTGCCAACATGTCACTGCAAATGGATTTTTGAAAACAGTGGGAGCCCATAAATTTCAGGAGGAATAATGAAGTTGAAGCAGAACAGTTTTTTTTCTGGTTTAGGGAAATACATAAATACAGATTTTTCATGCTTTAAGTGCAAAAGTGTTAAAAACAGCAAATTTCCTTCAGGAAATCTTAGAATAAGTTACAATCAATAGATTATTATCACTGTTCCAAATTTCACACATAGTCATAGGATACAAACCTACCATGTCCTTGACCTGACTCTTTTCCAAACGGGGGAAGTCTCTCATGCATATTAAAGTAGCAAATATATGCCACTGAAGACAGCTTGGCTATCCTCGCTAGCTGAAATGGGCTAGCAGGCTATGTTAGCCAGTTAGCTACGATTGTGAGCCTTCTGTCCCAACCTACAGGTTTCTTTTTCATGTTATCTCGATGAAACATTACTTAAACGTATGAGCAGGGCTAATAATAGCTAATAATTTAGGCTAACAATATTAGCTAATATTATTAAGTTATTATAATGTTTGCACAAGTTTCAGCCAGCTGAGCAAGCCTGTTACCTTGTGTCTACTAAATGGATAATACACTGGCTATGCCTTCTTGATAGCATCACTTATTACATGTCTTGACTTATGAATTATACTGTTTTCTTGTAACAGAGCACCACAAAAGTCATGCTCAATTTTAACATGGGCACTTACCAAAACAGGGAAAACAATGGTCTATTTTGAGTCATGAAATCCTCATCTAGTTTAAGCAAATACAGAAATGCAAACTCCTCATAGGCCTAACTGGCACTATTGCAAAAACAACATCAAGAGCAAGTTTGCATTTGCTATGATGCATTCTGTTGGATCAGCAGTGCACAGGGTGTCAAAGTCATTTGGATGGACATGGCAAAAGTAGATGGAAGGTGGAGACGGAGAGTGAAAGAGGGTAAAATACGCGGAAGAAGAGGGGCAGGATGGTTACAGGGGTGTTTTCATAAGAGACACTCCGATTTGAAGATGAGAAGAAAGAAAAAGGAAGAGCAGAGGGAGTCCGAGGCCGAGAAAGCGTAGAAGTACAGAGAGATGTGAATAAAAGGCCCAGCTGTGTCTACATCTAGTGTGTGTGTGTGTGTGTGTGTGTGTGTGTGTCTGTGTGTGTGTGTGTGTGTGTGAGTGTGTGTGTGTGTTCACACTCTGAATGCTCTCTGGGCTTACGTAACTCTGTGCTCCACGTGTGTCTGGGAGCGGGACGCAGCTGTGGTGTGTGTGACGTGTTTGACAGCACGCACAGAGCAGCACACCTTCACTTATTCATTACACAGCACATGCACACACATAGAGGGACACATATAAAATTCATGTCCTTTAATGGACCTAAGCTCTATTTAGCCTCTGTGCACAAGGACCTGCAGGAAAAGGCACAGGTCAGTCAGGACACGGACTTAGTGATGAGGTACAGTCCTCTGGCCTCTGGTGCTTTTCAGCCCTTTAAAACTAGACTGTATATTTTGTGTTTATCCTTTTTGTCACATGTGGTGGGTGATTTTAAAATGTTTTAGGTTTTAAAGTACATGCAAATCCGTGTGTGTCAGACAACAATGGATGGATAATGTAATTTTCCTACAGATTTCATTGGCTTTGACAACACAAGTATAATCCAGAGACATGTCATAATTGTCCCATGTTTTACCTTGAGAGTCCCACCACAAATCTCCACATACACAGCCTTATAGTAGACAGCTGTGACTCTTGAGATGCGTCTGGCATATCACAACTGAATATCCCATCAGATTCATGTTCCAGGAGAGTTAAAAGCCTTCTCCATGGCAACTCAGCTTTATTTACTGATGGTAAATGGAGGTTTTGTTCCACAGAGGACTGTTGACATCACATTATGGACCAGCTTGTAATCCACTTTTAGTTCGAGTCTTGTTTCCAAGTGTTTTGCTATTTTCTCTGCATCATCTCTAATCCCTCCTCCATCTCAAGCCAGTGAATGTTGCCTCACCCCACTGCCTTACCATGATAATACCACATATACTAGTATACCACAGTAAACAACTCCACATTCTCAATTGCCCCTTCCCATAAGAGTCAAGTGGTTCTCATCAAAACAATTGTTTCTTAAACCCAAATCCAGGATAAAACAGGATTATCAAAGCGTGATGTGCAAACTGAGCCCATGCATGCAATCGCGCTGTAATACCCAGCGGACTAAGTCCATCAGTCATGTGATAAAATCTCACGCTTCAGCATCATGATGTTTGAGCGATCTTGGGAAGCCATGCAGGTGACAACACTCAAAACATGTTGTTTGTCCAAGCCTTTGTGTCAGCAATGCCCAGCTTCATGATTACAACAAGTGGACACTAGGAGGTGCTGTTTCAGTTTAACAGTTAGGAGTTAAAAAAAAAAAAAAGATGCTGAGCAAAAATTGGGAGTATAAAATGATTGCTGCAGATTTACAATATTTATTGGTTATATACTTAATGGTTAGTGTTTGATTCAATAAATTGTAAGATCCTTGGTCATTTTAGATTGATATTTGCAAAAAGGGATCACATATCGTCTACTCCCCCCTCTATATATTTGTGTGTCTTGTCTTTTCTTTGTTTTCAAAAAAGACCATACCAAAAACCATAAACCAAAATAAAATTGTCCTACTCGTGCCTCTCTCAGGGCCCCCTTCCCCTCCTAGAGATTTGGTCTACACCCTGAAGCAGTCCACCCTGATCCTGGAGTGGGCGGCACCATCCGACACAGGTGGCCGGGTGGATCTGACCTACAGCGTGGGTTGCCGGCGGTGTCTCGGGAGGCAGTGCGAGCCGTGTGGAGCAAGTGTCGGCTTCGTCCCTCAGCAGGTCGGCCTGACGGAAAGAACGGTGACCGTGGTCAACCTCCTTCCCAACACCAACTACACGTTCACTGTGGAGGCCTTAAACGGAGTGTCAGAGCTGCTGCCCAACAAGAGGTTCTACACACAGGTCAACGTGTCAACAAGCCTTCCTGGTGAGTCACAGTATGATCTTCAAACATAGCCTCACATTCACGTACAGACACAAAGGCATGTGTAGGGAAGGAGCAGGTTACATTTTAAATAACAGTCCAAGTCTGCACGGTCAGGAAACCAGAATTGCACTCAGCAGAGCGTATACCTCCACCAAGGCCAAACAATCCTACACAAGTCTGTGAGATCCAGATTATTATCTGGATCTGCATCAAACTGTAAAAACAAAATATGTTTTTTCTTGCATCACAATCCAAACATTATTTCCTGAAAAATTTTCAAAAATGTGGAAAAATGCCCTTGCAATCTTGCAATGTTAAACAATGTGATAGTAAAATTCCTGGATTTGCCCCTTTTAACTGGATTGGCTCCAAAATTGAATGGTTTCTTCCTTCATCCCTCCACCAAGCTTTGTGTAAATCGGTGCTGTATTTTTTTTCCGTAATCCTGCTGACAAACAAACCAACAGACAAACAGACGTGGGTGAAAACACAACTTCCTTGGCAGAGGTGACAAACAACAGCTGAACAAGAATGAGGTCACTCTGCATTTCAGAAAAGATGATGTAGCAAATGTACTCAACTGGGACACACCAGCGCACTTGCATGTCTCTGAAATGCAGTCAGACTACATTACGTGTGAGCTAAAATTATCATACGTCTTAAATCGACTTGCACTGCATGGGTTTCTCAATCTGAATATCTTAAGGAAGTCTACTAGGTTCTTGCTGATTTGGCTTGAATTTGTCTTTGCGTTTCCAAAAAAGTTGAGGTGGAATTTACAATAATATTTGTGCTGTTTTGCTGTAGATGATGTTAGTGTTTGGTTTGTGTTTTGGGGAAAATATTACCTCTATTACAGGGTCTGATTGATTCTTACGACATCTCATTAAACAAAACAATAGCTTCGATCATTAAATCTGCAGTCTTCACTGTGGTAATTTGCACATTTGACTTCTATTTGCTGAAGATCTCTAAGGTTTTGTTTTGTAAAAGCACATCAATTTACACACACACACACACACACACAAAAGACAGGCATATGTACATGTACACACTTGCAGGCCCTGTGTACATCTCCCTTTACATAAATAGATGTATGTACACTCACAGGCGCACTGTGACCTTTTACTAAGCTTGTAATTTATGTAGATTCTCAAAGTGTATACTGCAACATACTGTGCAGCACACATGGCATTCAATACTAAATGCGCATCCTGCGGTGTGATTTTCAGTTATGTGTATGCTAAGCAGCACAAAGTCTCATCACACACACTCCTTCCCCACACTGACAGTGTGCCAGTCACTGCAGACAGAGCAAAAAAGTATCGCCGGTGGAGGTGATCTCATTTTCATCAGCAGCAGTCTTCAGCAGGCCATTAGCCAGGGGCTTGAAAAAGCACTTTGCCAAGTAGCCCTGTCAACCGGCGCTGCAACAACACTATATGGGGGAGCTCAAGTGTGAAAAGACCAAACACACCCACACACACACACACACACACACAATAAAGTACAAGCACACATTCTTGCTTGAACGCAAATACCTTGTACGCAAATGCACACATGCATTTATCTGTCATACCCACTGTGCATGTCGTTGAGAAAGCTTGTTTACTCATTGAAAATGGTGAAAGAAATCTGATTCTGAAGACAGAAGGCGTAATGAAGCAAATGAAGTATGATGGAGAAAGACGATGAAAGGTGCTGCACAAGGAAGCAGGTGATGGAGAAACAATGACAAAGTGAGAATGGCAGAGTGTGTTTTTGCCACTAACTGGAAATTAGCTTTGAGAAATGTGCTGCATAATGAATGGAGAACTGTTAGTCATATGCGAGGGCTGAGATGGCAGCAGCACTCACCTCGGGTCTCTGCTTAGTTTCAAGCCAGTTAAAGGTGGATATACAGTAACAGTTTGTTTATAACGGCAAAGGGACTCACTTCATTATGCTCTTTTAATGACAGCTGTAAGATGTTTGCACGTAAATGAAGAAATCATTTTGAATTGGTGTGTTGCAAGTCGGGTTCATGACTGAGATTTGCATCTGTGTATACAGAGGGCGGATTTAAGTAGATTGAGTATTTATAATGAATGCGAGTGTGTCTCTGTGGCCTAGATCCTCTTGCTGACCAACTGTAAATGTTACGTAAGTGCAACATCTGGACATCTGGACCACATAGGGTGAGGGAGTGGTTAGAAGGACAGCTTTACGTGTATGCACTAGATCTCTATTCAATATCAGTGACATGTGGTTGAGACTTAATACCACTGCCGCTCTCCGCTAAGTTCACAACTGCAGTATTTTATTAGAAAAGTAATTTTGTTTTGCAACGGAAATACATTTTTTTTCTTCTTCTTATCCTTTATTTATCCATTTCAGCACGATTGCATTCCACTAATGGCATTTTTTTTTTTTTTTTTTACTTAAAACTGCATCAAGCAATGTTAGAGTGAGGTGTGATCATGAGTGCCCCTTTAACAATACACAGAGTCAACTGATTCCATGTTATTTTGAATGTTTTGTCCATATCCAGGCTGTGGTGTATGGTTCTGAAAATGTGTCGCAGTGTCTCAAACCGAACCCCTTTTATCTGCCATCAGTTGAAATCTATGAGAGAACGGCTGAAGGTAACCGAGCTAAAAAGCTACACCTTCAGCTCCCTAAAGGGATTTAGCTTCCCAAACACCCCGAGCTCCAAGGTTAGGGACACTATATCAGAAAAGGACAAACCTGTGGTGATTATTTTTTTTTTCCTGTCCCCACAGTTCTTTCAACCTTTCTCCCTTTTATCTCCCCTTCCCTGTCTGTCTGTCATGTCAGCAGTTGCCATGCCCGTTGATTTGTCGTTATTATGGGGTATTAGGGTGTGAGTTGTCCCACTAACCGTGTCATCCAGAGGGATTGGACAAGGGGTTAGGAGAGTGTGTTTGCAGGGGTTTCAGAAGACTTTCTGTGTCAGGGAGGATTTAGACTGACATTTGGTGTTGGGTTTTTAATGCTGCCTTTGTGTGTGTGTGTGTGTGTGTGTGTGTGTGTGTGTGTGTGTGTGTGTGTGTGTGTGTGTGTGTGTGTGTGAGAGAGGCCGAGAGAGAGAATTAAAAGGAAATGTATTTAGATTTTGACATGTGCCTGCATGTCCAGCTTTGTTAAAAGACCTATGTTTTCCCGCACATGACTAGCAGAGCATGGTTCACATCAAACAGCTAACCGACCACATATGACACAAGCCAACTCACTTCAGCGGTGGGCTCTCCCTGAGGGTCGTGTGAGGTAAGGCTGTGTAAATGTCTGCGTCCACGTGCGTTTGTTAGAGGGCAGAAATGAAATGAGGACCTTGTTCAGTTATATCAGGCATGGGGTAAAGTCTCATTAATGCTGGTGGAAATATTAAACATCATCTACATACAACAAGATTACAACTTGAGATGGATGTCCCTTATTAAAACAAGATATGTGAAATTTTATTAATGAAAATATAAGAAACTCTTATTATTAAACCAAGCATATAAATGCGTTGTGTTCCAGTAAACACAATTTTCAGTATCCCTGAAAATAAGGTACAAAATTCACATTTTTGTTTAGTCTTGCCCTCTGGCTTTATCTCCCTGTTAAGCATTTTTTTTAATATCAGTAAAAAACAAAAATAAATGTGCATCCATAATCCACATCTGATCTATAAACATTAACAAGACTGCGACTATGAACTCTGATATTTCAGTATGTGTTATCTGTTGCCAAGGGAGACAACCAAAACTTTCAGAGAAAGAGACGGGAGACAAATCCAACAACTTTTACCTCCAACTGCCCCAGACTAAAATCCATAAGGACTCTGTGTGTCTCGTTTTCTCAGCAGGATGAGGCAGACAGATTTTACAGCAGTATTGTTGTGGGTGAGTGTGATCAGAGCCTCGGTGCGCTGTGAAGTGAGGTATAGCTCATCTGCAGGAGCAAAGCCGTAATGGTCAGAAATCCTGTGCAGCCAGGTCAGCTACAGAACTGGGAAGAAAAAAAAAACCTCCCTGCACAGTCCCTCAGCCTTGTGTCCGTACATGTGTGGGTGCCTCCACACCAAGACTTTATACCATCAAAACTCACTGACCTTTATAAATACTGCAGCAGGGATTTGGAACAAAGCTAACACACACCAGCGCACACACACACACACACGCTCACCCTCCTTTTCTCTTGCCACCTCATCATCTCTTTATTACTTTCTGCCCCCCCCCCCTCCTCCCTACCTCTGCATCAAGACCTCTTCTTTTTTTACCCTCTATTTCCTTCCTCATTTCCCCCACCGTATCCTTTCCTGCTCCCCATATCACCTCACTATTCTTGGATGGTAATTTCTCTCCCCACCTCCCTCCTCCTGTCTCTCCATCCACAACCACTCCTCCCACTGTCTTCTCTTTTCTCTCGCCACCTGCCTTGACATAATCACTGCTGCCCTCTTCCTCTTCACCTCTCTGCTTCTCTCTATCCTCTCCACAGCTCTCTTCCCCCCCCATCTTCTCCTACTGTACCGTATTTGTTTTCCTGGGCACGGTAAGCTTGTTAGCAGCGGGTGGTGCGGTTTAGCTGGCAGCTGAGGGCCAAGAAAGCCTGAGGATTTAAGGGCATAGTATGAGCTCCGGGAGAGAAGGTGCTATTTTACGGCCAAATACCCAAACCACACACATAGACACACAAGGGGTCAATTAACATCTATGCATGCAGTAAGATCTTCTCTTTTAGTGGAGGAAAAAGCATCTGAAACAGCATTTTAAATCTCGTGACATTAATACCCTCCATTAAAACCAAATACAAATTAAATTCCTTAAATGTATCTGGAACTGGATGCTTGCACATGCACAGTGCAGCGGTGGATTTCTCCCAGACAGATGGGGCTTTATCAGGACTCTCCAGGCCACCAAGGGGAAGGAGGGAGGTTTGCATGGTGTGTCAAGGATGGATGGATGGATAAAAGGGGAAGAGGGAGTAGGGGATATGAAACATGGCTGGAATTG